ATATTTATGACTTAGATTGTAACTAAGTGACATTCTCGAAATGCAAACTTCACTTCGTTCACCTCCTACAAGTTAAATTAAGTAAATCATTTTGAGTATGTTTTCAATAAGGGAGACACAAAAGACTAAATCGACAAAAGCTAAAGTAAAACGGGAAAGTAACGGGAAAGCTGTGGGCATGCGCAGTGCGTTTTTCACCAGTGTCGATTACTAGCGAGATGGACACTTCTGGTTATGTACTTCTGCTTATAATGTTCATCCTATCTTTAAAGCAATATAAGCTAATTGTTTTGTTCAAATTTTATAAATCATGAAGCAAAATTGAAAAAAAAAATAAGTAAAGCAAAAGTAATTAAGGTTACCCCGGACACTATTTTCGTCAAATCTTTCAAAATTTTTAAATTAGTCTGAGCGAATTAAAAGAAGTATATCTACAACTTTGACTAAAGTTTATGCCGATGTATTTTTTTGTAAACTAGTTATAAACAAAAAAACGTTTTGAGGTTCTCTGAAACGTGTTTTACTGCTGACTGCGGCTGTCATCGTAAGTCTTGGCGAATTAATAGTCACGTTATCAAAGCACGACGGGGTCACATAACATCACAAACTTCACATCAAGCGATAAAGACCAAAGCGATACTTATTCCACTGTATACTTGAAAATATCCTTTGCCAAGGCCTTTGGGATTCACCATTTTGAGAAAACTTACTGAAAATTATTACTATTCGCTGCACAGTCCGCGAAGAAGGTCAAACAACAAGGTCACGTTCGCTGAATATGCTCTCCCACCATTCTTGTATCGTATTTCTTCCTTTATGCTTATTGGCTACCGAACGAGTACGCTTGTCAACACTTGATCCCTAATCCTTTAATCCCATTAAACTTCAACTTCATGTTTCGTAAAAGTAGATTTCGATAAAATACTAAAATTCAAACGGTTCGTTTGCAGAACTTATCAGACGAATTTCCTCTTAATTTTGCATGTCGATTCGGACATTACTGGATTTTTAAAGTGTGTCTGCGTTTTTCTTTTTAAGTTTTCTTTGTCGAGAAATAAACAGTTTTGTGAGGGATGAGGTAAAATAGGGCCTAGTCTAACTTTAAAATCGAATTAAAAAATAACGAAGCGTTGAAAAGCCAAACGCAGACACACTTTTGCAGAACAATGCCTTGGTAACAGGATTATCAAAAAAGTTTATCTTTCTACGTAAAATTTTCTGCAAACGAATCTCTCGCGCGGAGACACTGTGTTCTCGTCAAGTTCTTGATGTCTTTTAAAATAATCAATTTTATCAAAAAATACGTCCAGATATGGATTCTTTGTCATTTTGTTTCTCAGAAAATGTATAATTTTTGCGGGTTTCCTATCAAATCGCGCGAGATATGATTTTTTTTAAACACCTCCCGGTAGTGTCCGGGGTAACCTTAAGGTAAAAACGGCGAAATAACAACGAAAGAAACTTACACTACAAGTACTATGGTGGGAACTAGCGGTAAACGAAGGATTAAGGTCCGAAACGTCAGTAAGTTATTTCACCTACTTTTTTACGGTGTGAAATATATTTTACGAGCTTTTAAGCTTTAAAGCTGTTTCAGTAATTTTTTCATGCATGTTGTTTTTTTTAAGTTGTAGGTTTCAGTTTTTCTTAAGATGTGTTTTACGTTACACATTACAGAGAACTTATAACTTTTATCTTTAAAATTTCAACGGAGTTTAACGAGTCGGCTTGTCCGCAGCTACGTTTCACAGACGCCAGATGATTGACGGCTCAGAAAAACACAAATTCAGACTGAGCTTTGCAACTTTGGTTTGCGATACAAAGAATTCCGCTGTTATGTCGGAAATATTAAACCTCAGTGATGACACTGTACAAACATCTCGTGCTATACTAAGAATATTATCATGTTGTTACGTTGTGTGAGAGCCACACAGCTTGGTTCATAAGGGCGACCTGACAAGACACCGACATAACGATATACATGGAGGAAAAGTAAAGTTGTAGTTATTCAAAATTCTTTATTTTTTATATGATAATGTAATCCGTATAAACATAACAATGTAATTTTTCCTTTTTTATAAATAGTAAAAATATAACAGTATATGCTGTTTTGCAGGTGAACACTTCATTCATGTAACTTAAAATAATAATAATAATAAATAAATTTGATCTTGATGTTCCTGAAACGTTGCAATTAGTGTAAAGTCGATCCAAAAACGTAACCGTGAATGTGGAAGAATTTGTTTTACACCTGAGTTGTTTTGTTTCAAACCATTTAATATATTACTTTCTAATTTTTTTTTCTCCGCATAATTTATAAGTTAATGTTGAACTATTTCATTAGTTTGATTTCAAGTTATTGTTTTTAACACATTATATGTCGATAAAATATGTCGGAAAATCATGGGCTATAGCCCTTCAAAATGGTCAAAAATGACCGAATTTTGATGAAAATACATGAACTATAGCCCACGAAAAATGCCAAAATAATGACCGGTTTTTAATGAAAATGTAGGGGCTATACCACTCCAAAATGGCCAAAAACCGACTTAAGATGAAAATGCATGCGCCATAGCCAAACCAAAATAATCATCATGTCTATCACTAAAAATATAGCAGAAAACGAAAAAACAGCAGTTAAGACTATTTTGCTAAATGCAAAATATCAAAGAAATAAACTTTTAAAAATGTCATTGTTGGTGTAAAGTGTGTTCCACATCTGTGAGTCTGATATTATTCACTTGCACGAATTTTTTTTTGTCACTCCTGTTGTTCACGATTTTTTTTCTCTATTTAAGCCTTGCTCGAATTTTGTTTTTGGTTATTGCCCAACACCCCCCTCAAATATCTAATGGCCCGTTCCTTAGAGTGTTTTAAGATTAAAATTACATTTATTTCCTTTTTTTTTCACGGAATCAAATAGCAACTTCCGCTATTGTTGAATCAGTTCTAGTATTTCCATGACCTCTGCTTAGATTAATACTTAGAATAGATGCTTCTCAAACTCATTAATAATTGATGACTTCATAGTCCAATCGGATGTTTATTTTAGAGTCACGTGCATACCCTTGGATACCATGATCCAACATCGAATGCTAATTAGTTCCAAATCCATGTGTTTGGATATCCAGACACATGGGTTTGGAACTCATTAACATAAATTTGCTAGGCTCTTAAAACTTCTCCGTTACTTTTAACCACTTATCTTTTTGGGGTGTTTTTTCTCTTTTTCTTACTTCTCTAATCTTTATTTTAACTAATCAATTTTTATGTTATGTTATTTTACTATATTATATTAACTACTTCTTACCATTGGAGTGGCTCGAACCGGTGACCTTTGGGTTGAGAGTCCAGTGCGTAACCAACTTAGCTAGTGATGATTTTGTTGAAAGTATTGGGTTTGACGTATTTTTTATATTTCTCCTTGTGGCTATGTTAACTTATTACACGTAGAAAATGGATAGATCTATATTTGCTAAAGAAGCGAGTATACTTTATAGTTGTCCACGGTACATTTAATGGTCAGTTTTTTTCATTCTTATAGAGATGTGTACACATTTTGCATATTTTGTACTCATCTTTTATTCTTTATATTTATTCTATGAATACTTCATTCATATTTGGACATACATATTTCTTATTGAGGTTTTTTTGTAATACACATTTATGACAAATTGATCACTGGGTTTACTGGAGCATTGGATGATATGCGTTTCTCCCTCTTGTCGCCTGCTGACCGGCCGGGTACTGTTGATGTACGCTATTGGATAGTCGGAGGTACCAAAGCTGTTGGAAGCCTGATTGACAAGTGCGTCACTTGCAACAAACTACGCGCAAAGGTCCAGGAGCAAAAGATGGCAGACCTGCCGGACGACAGGATTGAGATAACACCACCCTTCACCAACTGCGCCGTTGACTACTTTGGCCCATTCATGGTCAAAGAAAGAAGAAAAGAAATAAAGAGGTATGGCGTCCTATTTACCTGCCTGTCGTCTCGCGCAATCCATCTCGAAGTGGCCAACACCCTGGAAACGGACTCCTTTTTGAACGCATACAGACGTTTCGTCAGCCGCCGTGGTCCGATTCGATGATTGAGAAGCGACCAAGGCACCAATTTTGTCGGCGCTAGAAGAGAATTGAAGGAGGCCCTTAACGAGATGAGTGCTGACAAGCTGAAAGCGGAGATGCTGAAGGACAATTGCGACTACATCGAGTTCAAAATGAACGTCCCGTCAGCAAGTCATATGGGAGGAGTTTGGGAGCGCCAAATTAGAACGGTACGCAACGTGCTGGCCTCTCTACTCCAAGACAATGGCAAACAGTTGAATGACGAATCCCTGCGAACTCTGATGTGCGAAGTAGAAGCAATAGTCAACTATAGACCCCTTACAGTTGAATGCTTGAGAGATCCTGACGCACTCGCTCCACTGTCAGCAAGTCAGTTACTCACTATGAAGACTAAGATTCTAATGGCCCCCCCTGGTGTCTTTCAGTCTGCCGACCAGTACGCAAGAAAGTGGTGGAGGCGAGTGCAACATCTCGCAAATGAATTATGAGAAGCAGATGGAGAAAGGAGTTCCTTCTCACACTACAGCCACGTCAGAAGTGGACAAGATCGCGACGAGACGTCCAAGTCAACGACATTGTAATTATCAAAGACGATAATCTTCCAAGAAGCAGCTGGCCACTCGGTCGCGTTCAACGCGTCAACCAAAGCGCTGATGGTAAGGTGCGATCTGCCCTTGTGTCCCTGGCCGAAAAGGATCGAGACAACAAAGGCAAGCGACGGTCCCAGCCAAGGTCCCTGCAGCGTCTCATCCAAAAACTGGTTGTTCTGATGAAAGGAGATGCAGATACCCAGACCGGGTAATTCCCCGTCGAGGAGCCACGATAGATAGCATAGATAGCGTAGATAGATTATTATTTAGCACATGAACTTTGTAGCTTTATATCTTATTTGTCCTAGTTAGATTTAGTGAAATGTAAACATTTCAGGGGAGCCATGTAAAGGAAATGCTCTAAATAGCGTGGTTAAACCCTACCTAGATAATATATTTTCCGTAATTCAACCTAGCGTCGATATTAGCCAATAGCCTACCACTTTGTGGTTTTTGCTAGCTTTAGTAAGAATACGTCCCAAACCCGAATAGTTAGTGTTTTAGTTCAAGTGATCGAGGAGAGACTACACTTATCAAGGTCTGTTATACTGTATCTTTCCCTTTGTTGGATTTGTTGTATCTTTACCTCGGCAAGCGGGACTGCTATTTTACTGTAACGGCCGAGACGGCGAATTTAACTACGACGACTTATCGCGCATGTAGACACAGCAAATATATGAAACGACGAAACGGGTATATTTTACGGACAAGTTCTTGGCTAATAAACGTCACAAGTTCGGTCCGTAAAATATACCCGTTTCGTCGTTTCATATATTTGCTGTGTCTACATGCGCGATAAGTCGTCGTAGTTAAATTCGCCGTGTCGGCCGTTACATACTCGTAATGTCTACACATTTGCCATGGCATGAAAATTTCCACGGCCCACTTCGTTTCGTATTGTAGATTGTGGCGTAGCTTTTGACAATAACTCAGCATCTTCTTCTCGGGTTGTTGGATCTCGAAAGCTACACGCGGAGGTTGCCTCCGCCATTTCAACTTATGAAATTGAACTGAATAAACAGAACTACTACAAATTTATTACAAATCTCTCTCCTTTGGGGTTTATATATATAATAGCGATTGATGATGCCACTTACATTCTATTCATAACCAAAATAGGACTGATGAATAAATCCAATAACGGTCTTTAAGGAATTTGCCAGCTGAAGTCATTCATTATCAATTTGTTTGAGAAATCAGATCAAAAACTCSTGCTTCGTGTTTCATCAGGGGAATCCAAACATCTCGAAACGCTAAAAGCACTTGGCCTTCGGCCGCGTGCTTTCATCTGTTTCTGGGTGTTTGGATCCCCTGATGAAACACTCGACGCACTCGTTTTTGATCTATTACATCAAATGTCCTAATCAACTGCCTATCAAATATCCTAATCCTTATCCTTATCCAAGAATGGTCCAATTATAGGCCCTGCATCATTCACTGGATGCTTGGGGACAATGATAATTTTTTTCTGGTAATGTTTGAAGGGGGACGGGGAGGGTCACGATATTTTTGCCCGTCTAATATCAGTAGGGTTAGAATATTTCGCTTCCCCACTATGGTTGGTCACCCTATTCCCAGTACCCACTTTTCAATTTCCACCTTCCCTCCCCCCGCTAATGTTTGACTAGACCCTTATTTCGGTCTTGATTCCACTTCTGTTGTGCTATTCATTGAAATTACAGTTGTTCCGACGACTTTTCACAAAAAAGTCGACTTTCTGACGTTTAGTTCTGGGACTAAACGTCAGGCAGTCGAAAAATCTCAAAGTGCCGTGCTTGTGACCGGGGCTTGTGACTATACAAACTTGTTGAATAGTATTATTTCGGTCTTAAGTGCATTCCCCAATTGTATTAATTGAAATTACGGATGAACCGACGATTTTTCAAAAAAAAATAGACTGCCTGACGTTTAGACACTCCGTTTAACGTTTAATGTATTCTTAATTTCCTAAATCCTTAAACCATATTGCAGTATTTTAAAATTGCAGCTAGGAAGAGTCATAATAAAAACTGAATAACAATATTTCGGTCAGAACTCTGACCTTCCTCAGTACGTAGTAATGAAATAGGTTTGTACGCGTAATTTAAAGGGTTGAAAAAATTGAATTAACGCGCGCGATTTTTACAAGAATTTATGATTGTTCTGTAAGCTACGGGTATCTTTTCAGAAGCTTGGTTTTCTGAGCTCGACTGTAACTTGGGAAATGTTAGAACTGTGATACCCGTAGCTTACAGAACAATCATAAATTCTTGTAAAAATCGCGCGCGCTGATTTAAATTTTTCAACCCCGTTAAATTAGCCGTGCAAACCTATTTCATTTCTACGCAATGAGGAAGGTCAGAGTTCTGACCGAAACGTGTGCGTTGTCATTAAATCATAAGCTAGTGAAAAATATTTTTATACAGTTTTTAACATTGCAGTATATTGAAGTATGTTTTCAATCAAGGAGACAGAGGACTAAGTGAACATAAGTAAGTCCCAGACCTTGCTAAAAGGCTGTCATTTCAAAAAATAAATAGTAAACAAAAAAACAAATATCCTTTCTATTTAACGCCAGAGGAATGTATTGGTTTCTTGCCAGTGATGGCGTTTCAGCACATTTCTCGAATATACCCAGAAAGAAGGTTTCTTGAGTTTTAGGGTTTTAAAAAACCACTCCAAGTCATAAAACCCGCAATTTGGTATATAGCGTTGGCGTGACTGCGACTTTTTTAGTGAAACGTACTGTGACTGGCATCAGACCGACAAAGTGTACATTTAGACAAATCTACGCGGCTTTGACAATTTCGGGGACAGACCTCAAATTCAAATCATGCAAGATAAAGGAAAATGTGCACAAAGTTTACAAAAATAAATGACTTTGTTTTTCAAGGAAACAGTTGAAAAAAAGTGACGAAAAAAAGGTAATACAAAGTTACAAAGTTTCTCCCAAACTTCTTCGTTATTAAACCGAAAGTCGATGCCCATGAGTCGAGCAGCTCCGATTTTAAACCGACGGACATCGATGAAAACTCGGTCAACTCCAATGATGTTGTAACCAATGGATGTGTAGTTATGTGACCTTCAATAAATAACTTGGTCTAAGATAGCGAGCAGTGCCAAATAAGGTTACAAAGGACAAAAAATGGCCATAATTTTGATTTTAAAAGAGCTTATACGCGATTACGTAACTTATTAATAGCAATTTTGTAAACATTTTTTGTTGCTATATTTCAAAAACAGTTCTGGGTCAACGTCAGGAACAAAACACCTCGGTTCACCCTACAACCTCTTTTGAAAGGCTATAGCCATTCTTCTTGGGTTGTGTTCTAGAAATAGGTAGTCACGCGACCAACACTTTTATTTTAATTTTATCCAACAAAATCAAGCAATGTATTTTATTGATTCATGCAAAATAAAAGACAATGTGAACGAAATTTTTAAAATTAATGAAAGTTGTATAAACACAATTTAATTTTACCCTTTAAATATAGCTAAAAAATAGTTAAGTATCTACACTAGTTTGCAGACCATCACATTATTCATGTAACTTCTTGAAAAAATAAACTTGAACTTGATGTTCCGGAAACGGTCTATCCAAAAGCTATAAACATAGCAACTTCCGCTGTTGCTGAATGAGTTCTACTATTTCCATGACCTCTACATAGATTAATACTCAAATTACTAAGAGGTGCTTCACAAAAGATATACACGTTTTGGCATATTCATAACGTCATGGAGGGATGTCGAAAATCTAAAAAAAAAAATCAAATAAACTTGATCATGATGTTCCGGAAACGTTGCAATTCGTGCAAAGTCGATCTAAAAACTATAGAGGGTTTTAAGCTTCAATTACATTTATTTCCTTTTTTCACGGAATCTAATAGCAACTTCCGCTATTGCTGAATCATTTACTACTATTTCCATGACCTCTACTTAGATCAATACTCAAATTACTAAGAGGTGGACAATAAAAGACATGCACGTTTTGGCAAATTCATAACGTCATGGAGGGCAGTGGAAAATCTAAAACGAGTTGTATACTTCAGCTTGGTGTATTGCTGAATTTAGCCCTGACATTACTGTCTGTGGGGTATTTGACTTACAGAGTGCATACTTTGGATGAACGAATCGTTCGATGCGAGCAAATCAAGAAAACAGAACCAGACGCTATTGTACATAAAAATCGCTTGCCAAGAGCGGCTAACAATGGCTCGAGAGATCCAACGAGTGCTTGTACCAAATGCAGAGATCTCTGTATGCAAATCTTCTCGTCCAGGTCATCCAAAAAGGTATACGCAATTCTGCATTGTCATAATATGACTTTTAATGAATAAACAAAAGATTTCACGAAACATTTAGATACAATGTAAACGATCTGATTTCGTTTTTGCATGCGTAAAACAATGCGTCATCTACAAGAACAAAATATTCTGCCAAGAGCCTTAATATATTGACTCTCAACATGGAACAAGAAGCAAACAGCAACACAATTTCTGTGAAATAACCAAACTTGACAATGATACGAAAATGTATTCGTGAGTTTCCAGACATTTCTAATGAAATCTAATATAGTGTACATATCAAGTGACAGACTCGCCAAATTTGTGACCTCTATGAGTGAATAAACCAAAGGCAGGGTGCATTAATAGAACTGCTATTTATCTCATAGTTAAAATCGTCAAAACCATCAAGTAAACCAGTTTGTGCCAGAGGTATGAAATTTTCTTCACTATCCCATCAATCTCTTTTTTGGTATTATTTGTGAAGAGAAAATTTCCATTTGATAATTTAAGGCCCACCAGGAGCACCGGGTCCACAAGGGCCGAAAGGTCCAAGCGGACAAAGGGGACGACGTGGTAAACGAGGGTTTCGAGGATCTCCAGGAATACAAGGTCCACCTGGACTACCAGGTCCGCAGGGACCGAGGGGAGTGCCAGGAACAGCGCTCTCTGGAAACCCTTCTATTGTCGATTCCCTTGGTAGGTATTTGACCAGAATGAAATCCCAAATCAACGTACGAATTATTCAATGGTAAATACATGTAAAATGTACAACCCATGTACATTCCAATTGGTGGGTATTTGAGAAGAACAAGATATAAAACCAACACGAACTATTCAATGGTAAATAAATGTAAAATATACAAGCTCGTGTAATTTTCAATCTTTTTTAAAAGCTCTTCCAAAAATAACCAAAAGACCTCCATCTGTTCTTGTTACCAAAGAAGGCGATAATGTGGTCATTCCGTCTAAAGCCTCTGGTTTTCCTAATCCTAGAATCTCGTGGTACAAAGACAACAAGAAAGTAGACGAGCGATTCTATGCAACTGGTGCTCTACGAATAAACAATGTCAAGTTCGAAGACCATGGAGTTTACTTATTAAAAGTAAAGAATTTCATTGGTCAAGCAACAGCGAAAATGAAACTTGTTGTAAATGGTAATATCAATCAGAGCAAGTTACTGCACTTTAGTTTCAGAGGGATGTGTATAGTGCAAAGAAATGTTTTTTTCTTACCAACTGAAGTTTATTTCTGAGAAATGCGTTTCAATTTAGGGACTGTGCAATAATTACCAGGAAAAGGGGGGGGCGAAAACCAGATTTCTTAAGCAGAAAATTAGTTAGAACCCCCTCTCCGAAGCACAAGAAAATAGCTCTTACACCTAACGTCAGTCATTTAGTTATAAAACAAGCACAAGCGAGTCGAGTCAACTGTAGCAACGCAAAATTCACTAAACACGAACCCAGATGCAAGATGTGTCTTACTCATCTGGATCTAAGTGTAAAGACAAAAACTTTCAGGAGGACCTGAAATGCAAATGTGGTGCCCTTGCTTCTTTCAAATGATTTTGTTCCTGGCAAAGGTTTTCGAGGTCCAAAATAGGCTTTTTTTACGTTTTTATGTTCAAAAACGACTTTGATATTACTTGTGTTTGTTATGTCTAATAAATCATCAATGTTTTTTCAGCTTCTACATCTTCAATTTATGTGAAAACTATATCCTCAATTTATGTGACTAAATTGCAAAAATCAATATTTTTTTAATTAAAAATCATAACTTGGTCAATTTCAATCACACATCAACGAGTCTTTGCATTTAGATTTCCATTAGTCAGGCGCGTAGCGTGGAATTAATTTTATGCACATGTCAGGGACCGCGACATAAGGGAGTCTGTTCCTCCCCCAGAAAATTTTGATTTTTTTTTTTCAAAATTTAAAAGAAATAACTCTTGGAAATGCGATTTCCAGCATTTTTAGAAACATCGAAAATTATGAAAATTTTGAATAAGGCCCCCCTCTGTTAATTAGGAAATTTTACTTTGAGCCCCCCATATCTTGCCATCAATTTTATGCAATGCCCCCCCTCTGGTTTTACGGCCCCCCCTCCTGGTAATTATTGCACAGTCCCTTAATCATTCCTTCAATCATTCCAATGTGAAGTGAAGCTTCGAGTCGTGGATTAATACGCTTCTCTCGTGCTCTCCCAACATCCCGGTGTTTTTATCAGAGTATCAGAAACGTAGATCCGTTTTATATTCCTTAATTCAAACATCAGAGGCTTAGAAAACTCTTCTGACAACATTTTTTAAAGAAATTGAGCGAACGATTCTGGAGGTTCAAGATTGTGCTAATTTTATTGTGTACGCCCATTAGAATTGCGGGACAGTTTTTAAAATATCGTTGTTTTTGAAATAGTTGCTCCAAAATTCGTGGTTCTGCCTCCACTTTACGTCGCTGGTTACGAAGACTGGAACACAACCTTCACATGCAATATATTTGGGTTTCCTCCTCCGAGGATCGAGTGGACACGAGCACAGAAAGCCATGCCTAAAGGACGCCATGTAAAATATGATAACAGCCTTATTATCATGAATACAAAGAGTGAGGATAAGGGACCCTACATGTGCAGGGGCATTAATAACCAAGGAAACGTGTTTGCCATGGTAGTGCTAAATGTTTATTCTGTCAGTAAGTAGCGATTAATGTCTTAATCAATTTTTACAATGCTTTGAGAAAAATTGTGTGATTTCGAATATTACCTATTCAAATCGAATTCCTAGATTAATAACAATTGTCCTGAAGTTTCTGATAATAATTTTTATATTTCCAGTTGCTCCAGCCATCGTTCAATCCTCCGCTAATAATGTTACCGTATACAAAGTCTTGAGTCGCGTTAAATTAAACTGTTCAGCAACTGGATCACCGCTGCCAACGATCGAGTGGAGCAAAGATGGACTAGCTTTATCTGTAAACACTACAGTTCGCCAGACCAATAAAGAAACTATAGGCGAGTTGGTCATTGATTCGTTCATGCCTSAAGACCAAGGACGATACAAATGCTTTTTTAGAAACTACGACAATGGAACGGCCGAAAGTACAATACAAGTCTGTAAGTCCATAAAGGGAACCAATCATGATGCAGCCTTAATTACACAATAGTACTATATCCATTCATCCACAAATCAATAATGGYATCACTAAATAATACATTCAATTCATTCACAATCCACTATCGAGGSTTAACGTGAGAAGCAAAAAGGAAGAAAGAAGGAAAAGGGTTTCTTCAAATAAATCAATTATTAATCAACTTAAAGTTCCCAACACTACACTAATTTCTTCAACTCTTATAGCACTAATGAGCTGTGGTGATCCTGGAAAACCATTGAATGGCTACCGTACTGGCAATGAGTTCTGGGCTGGAAATATGGTAGTTTATACTTGTGATCCTGGTTACTACTTGGTGGGACCATCCAACCGACTTTGTCTGGAAAATGGTGCGTGGAGTAACTCCATTCCATCATGTAGGTTATTTTCTCTTTATTCTTACTTACTTGAACTAAAAAAAACAAAAGTACATATAGTAGACATAGCAGATGTTGATTTTCTTATCACTAACTAGATATGATCGGCCTTACTTAGGACCTAAATTAAAGGTTCTCAATAAGTAATCACTTTTCTTGCTTGAAAGGTCGTCGTCTTTGTCCCGATATCGTACCTCCTGAGAATGGATACATTGTAAGTGATTTCCTGGCCAACAGCACTCTTACTTTCCATTGTAAACCCGGTTACTGGGTCAGTGGGAACCGCAACTTGTTATGCGATCCCAACACAGGGAGCTGGACAGATTGGAAAGGAAATTTTCCTACTGAAAAACCTCAGTGTATAAGTAAGCAAATAATCGCTAATTTATTATAAAAATGCCATAAGAAAGTGCGTTTAATTATATACAGTTTACTTTAATTAATATTTAGCTTTCGCCTTCACTTATGGTAGCCATAACAGGTAAACCAGGGCTGTCACCAGCATCTGCTGCATCTTCCGGGAGATGTTTTTAAAAAAATCATATCTAGCGCGATTTAATAGGAAACCGGCGCAAAAATTATACATTTTCTGAAAGATAAAATGACAAAGAATCCATATCTGGACGTATTTTTTGATAAAATTGATTCTGTTAAAAGATGTCAAGGACTTGTCGAGAACACAGTGTCTCCTCCGCGCAAGAGATTCGATTTCAGTAAATTTGACGTAGAAAGATAAATTTTTTTGGATCCTGTTACCAACGCTTTGTTCTGCAAAGGTGTTTCTGCGTTTGGCTTTTCAACGCTTCGTTATTTTTTTATTCGATTTTAAAGTTAGACTAGGCCCTGTTTTAGCGCATTCCTCAAAAACTGCTTATATCTCGACAAAGAAAACTTAAAAAGACAAACGCAGAGACACCTCAAAACTACAGTAATGTCCAAATCGGCACGCAAAATTTAAAGACATTAGTGAAATAAGTTCTGCAAACGAACCGTTTGAATTTTAGTATTTTGTCGAAATCTACTTTTACAAAACATGAAGTTGAAGTTTAATGGGGTTAAAGAATTTTAAAATTGTTGGGGGCTGTGCAGATACACTTTTTCTAATTAGCTCAGCCTATTTTTTTTTTTTTTAATGAAAGATTTGACTAAAATAGTGAAAGGGGTAACCTTAAACGGTGACTAAGATCGGCACTTATGTGCGATTGTGATTTTCGGACTACGTTCAAATGGGAAAAAAACGACTTGTTGACTAAAAACTATTATGTCTGTAATGGTCATTATGATACATACTTCACATTCGAATTTTCTCACCTGTCTTCGATTTTCGATTGTAATCGTTGATAAATAGCGAATGTAGAAAATTCAGCATGTGAATTTCTTTCTTTCTGAGATTAAACTAAAATAGGTACGTAGGTACACACTGTGGAAACTGTAGGAAATCGATTTTTTATTTTAATTCCAATATTGTGATAATTGTTTGTGGGTTAATTTTCTCTCAGAACATACATTGAATTCAAACATCCTAAAAAATCGAGAGGATTATTATGAATTAATGACAGAATGGCTGGCTCCAGTGACAAATAACCCAATAAGATGGGTACCATGCTATCAAAGCAGACTTCACGGATGGGCCAGTAAGACATTCCATTCTTATTGTGATGGTAAAGGACCGACTATTACAATCATCAAAGTGAACAAATACATATTTGGAGGCTATACAGACGTCAGCTGGCGTAAGTATTCCAGTTGTTGATCTTTGCTATATTCGGGGGTTAACACAGAACATCCATCACATTGGTACAGCTTTTTTATGCTCACAATAACGTATTATAATTGTTTTCTTTTTTAAAGATACCAAAGGGTCTTACAGCAAATCAGTCAACTCGTTCCTGTTTTCATTCGTAAACAAAGATAACTTGAAGCCATTTAAAATGAAAGTTTTCAAATCACAGAATGCAATTTATGGAGGTAGCAGCTACGGGCCAATGTTTGGAGGCGGTCATGACATATATATTAGTAATAATGCTGGTAGCAACACATACTCCTCTACGAACCTTGGACATAGCTATGTACTGATTAAGGGCTACACAGCTGGATCAACTAAAGCAAGGAACCTTCTTGCAGGATCGTACAACTTTCAGCCAGACGAGATCGAAGTGTTTCGGCAAGATGGCTTAGACGTTTAGGTGAAAGAAACTCTAACAAAACACAGGGATCCCACATAATATATCGATGCCACTTTTAACACATACGATATTTTCAGGAAATGGACTTATCGAATAACGCGTTGCTATAAACGTTTCCATCCAGTTCAGACCACCCGGTAGTAAGTCTTATTGTTTCTTCGTATTTTCATTTCACAGCTGAATTCTTAGAAACAAAAGTTTTTTTTTCGCACATGATTTGAATTGGGTGGTAACGCACACGGTAACGCGTAGGCCGATTTGGTCTATGCATTGCAGTTGTGATAAGTGGGCAATTTGCATATTGGTAGTATCGGTAGTAAATGTATGGAGCAACTAGTTATCCTTTAGTTTTTTTCTTAATTTTAAAAATGTTTAATTCTCTCGTTTGATATCAAATTATATAGAATTTAAATAAATTCAAAGCAGTAAAGTTAAATTAAGCAAATTATTTTGAGTATGTTTTCAATAAGGGAGACAAAAGACTAAATCGACACAAGCTAGTCCCAGACCTTGTTAAAAGGCAGTTAATTTTGAAAAAAAGTAAATGAGTAAAATTAACGTTCCTTTTAATGCAGAGGAATGCATTGGGTTTCTTTCCAGTGATGGCGTAGTTTCAGCACACTTTTTGAATACACCCCAGAAGGAAGAAAGAAAGTTTCTTTAATTTTAGGTCTTTTAGGG